TACATATCCTTACCCAGTTTTCATTGGTGGACTGTGCAGATAGTTTATCTATTGTAATACCAATGGCAAATGGAGTCTGTTTGTCTAGAGATTCATTTTCATATCTTATATGAACATCAGTGATGCACAGCTGAAAATACAACAAGGAAGTTTGTTCTTAAGCCTGATTGTAAGACAGCACTGTCTCTGACATAACCCTTTACTTAGCGTTGGATGCAGAAAGTCTGAAAATCAGGCTATTTGACATACATTCTTTGTTAAACTATAATATTATCTTATACATGTATATAAAAAAAGGCAAAATAACATATTTATAACACAGCAAAAGCCTTGAGGCTTCACAGGAGTACAAAATTATTTCTTGTTTTCAACCATTCCCATGAGATTCAAACACAAAAGACCAGCGTCCATGTTGAATGAATGAACAATAGATACTAATGAGAAATCACTGTAGTTCATCCAAGATGGCCGCTGTGATTTATATTGCAAACAAAGAATACCTTGAACAGGCAACACAGGGACTCAACCCTGGCTAATACAAGCCATGTATCACAACAAATGATGGATAAATTCATTACCTGTAGGTTTTCAACAATTGTTGTCGAGAATGATGAATACAGTGACGGCCACCAYGAATATGACCAAAAACCTCCTGCAGGCTGATCTGTCTGCTGGGATTCCTAAAGGTTTGGAGTGAGTCATGATCATAATTATGTGAACACAACTCAAAGAGTACTGACCAGTGAATAATGAATATATTATTTTAGTATAAACATACTAATGGTCTATCACTCATACTGTGCTGTGATTGGCTACTCTACTAATGGTCTAATTTGCGATAGACCACTCGCGGGAAAATCAAAATAAATAAATTATAAAAAATTATTTTAAGGATATTTCAATTTGTTTTCATTATTTGACCGATTAGTATGTTTATACGTCTAAAACAATTAGACCTCTCGGCCTCGTGGACTACGAGCTAATAGCCCATTCGGCCTCGCGGACTTCGGCCTCGCGGACTCGGCCTCATGGGCTATTAGCTCGTAGTCCACTCGACCTCGAGGTCTAATTGTTAAATAGAATATTCAAGATTCTCCTCCAATGCAGAGTTCTCAGTAGAAGCAGGCAGCCAGCGAAAATCGCCAGTCATAGCTTAGTTCATTCCTGCTACTTACGAATTTATCTGAAAATTATTTTGCCGTACTTTTCGTATTTTGACGTCTACTTTTATTTCTACTGAGAACCATGTCAATGGCATCAGGTACATGATTGGATGCTTTAGAGATTGATTTACACAGTATGTTATATGCAACTCAAATGAGCTCTAAATCGTGCTAGGTAATTGTCTCTAAGACTTACCTATAACAGTCATACGTAACATATGACTTGTAGTATGATTTTAAACCACAGGTAGGAAAATCATAATATGAGATTATCGTACTGTGAAAATCCACCTTACATGTTGGCTTACCTTCCATTGTGCTTCAAACAAATCCAAYTGTCGTTTCTTCCTGTTCCATACATTAGCATTTTCCTCCTCTTCATTGTACTAAAAACCAAGGAATKATTGATAAAAATAACAATTTCTGAAGTCTGGGTTATTTAACAAAATCTCACTTATAGGGAATTCCCACTACGGGGGGTGGTGTATGGATACATTGCGATCAGGAGATCCAACTAAAGGGGGGAATGGGGACTTTTTTTGTGGGTGGGTAGGGGGGAGGTATGACTTTTATTTTGATACAAAATCTCACTATGGAAGGTAGGGTATGGATATATTTTCGTTACAAAATCCAATTATGGGGGGTGGGGTATGGATACATTGCTATCATGAAATCCAACTAAGTGGAGTGGGCTGGGGGTATGACTTTTATTTTTGATACAAAATCATACTATAGAAGGTATAGTATAGATACATTGCTGCCATAAAATCCCCCTATGGGGCAAGCTCGTACCCAGGGCTTTCTCTTCCTCGCTATTTACAAAATGGAGAGGAAGAGAAAGCCCTGGGTATGAGGTTGCCTATGGGGGTAGGGGTGGGATTATATATAGCACACCTCACTAAGTTCCTGTGGTCCAGCTACAAGGTATAGTTTATTAATATGGATAATCCAAGGTTCYGATTTAGGACGAGTTAATGGAATTGACAGCTGTAGATGACCAATAAACCCTGACTTGACGGCAAGAGGAAGATCAAGTCCCCTGAGAGCTGTCTTCTTCAATGGTAAGTTATGAAGATCAACAGTACCTGGTGATAGAGATGGATCAAATTCTTGTGATATGTGAACACATTTCACAATTTAAGTTTTAAAGGCATAAGATCTGATTGGCTAATGACTGACATATAAAACCACAGGCATATATAACCAATAGAATTAAATCCTGAAATTATTCCTTTTTTTAATTTATTCCTTTTTTGAATAAACATTGAAGCTACATGTTTGTAGTGATTGGCTAGACGCATCAGATATTGTCAGATATTGCTTCAGATAATGCATCCAACTTGACATTCCAGAGAAAAATGAGCTTCATTTTTTTCCCGGAAGATTTTTATCTAAGCAAGACAGTTAAWAACAAGTTTAAAAATAGAGTATAGTGGACAATTTTAAAACTCAAGTGCTTGTTTATACCATTAACTATAGTTAGTAAGCTTAAGYTATCTTACATATCTAGGATTATTACAAATAAAAATTAACAAGGACTTATTTTTAGTGCACATGCACCGTCTGTTTTGTTTTGCAAAAAAAAAAACTGGATGCTACAAAATATCATTTTTATAAGCATTGTTCTTTTGGCTATATCTTAATGAGTAAAAGTCGAGAATTAATTTCCATAGGTAAAAAAATATTGAATATTTATATCGTATTTGAATGCACTAAACCACGAACCAAAATGGCACCATTCTAAGGYAAAAGGCTTCATTTTTTATCGATRCYTACCAACGCCAATAGATAGCTGATCAGTGTTCAAATTCTCCACGTATTCTCCAACATACGTTCTCAAGATCCATGCTGCTAGGCCCTCGAGCATGGTCAATAACAACTCATCAGTTTTGCAGTTTTAAATGAATAAAAAAGCTCTCGATATAATTTTCCATGTTGARCGAGGTGTACTTCTTCCACATTTCTTGTCAGTGTTAGGGAGAAGCTCAAAAACAGAACAAAATAAATAAAATTAGTGTYGTCAAATTCTTACTTCATCGTGATGATTCAATCCAAAAATAAGAAATTCACTTCCAGTTRCCGGRAAWATATCGATTACTTTATAMCTCGGAGSRATTTCGTTTMAWAACCGGAAGTCAACAAGAGCGGCTTATGAAACAGAATAATTGACAYCAATTTTCTATCTATTAAAGTAAAAACACGTCTAATATTGAATGTATTATGATACATGCTTTATAAGAGGTCTTTTTGAATATTTTTCGTGGTAAAGACYTTTYGTAATTCAATCGTGATTGGTCGGAATGAAACGAGCAATAGAACTGCATTCTGGGTAATACTAAACATAAACATTGATAAAATCGAGAGGACCTGGTAATTACCGGTCACTTCGAACTTTGATCGTGTGGAGGTTGAACARCACTTTGGAAATTATTCTCAAATTTTCAAATGTTTATTTATTTGCTATATTTCATCCTTTCTGTTCAAGCCTTGCTTTTTGTCCTGTACTTTGCTGGACTGTGGGATGTAGTTRTATTTGTYAAGATTTTATTTTATATTTTGGGACACGTTCTTCGGTCTGCTKTCARCTTCCTGCTTCCAACCTTCAGAAAATCTCTCAAAGGTGAAYTGGCTTTAGTAACAGGGGCTGCTAGTGGTATTGGAAGACTTACTGCTTTAAACCTTGCCAAACAAGGTAGGTTTTGACATACRATGCTTGATTTGATCAATACAGCTGCAACTTGTTATGATCTAGCCGCCAGCATTCAAATGTTTATTGAAAACAGCTTATTTACCTCTGCCTATTACAATGATCTTGATTTGACAGTTGTTAAAAGCTCTAATATACCTTTGACAAATGTATCTGTTTTTTTAATGCTCGCTTAAATATATTTTAAATATTCCTCTCTCTAGAAAATGACACACATTAATTGGCGCGTGCATCATTTTGATAAGAATTYAATTATGCAATATTTTGATTTTTATATTCCTTGGATTCTTTGATTTGATCGATTGTTTTTATCAAATGTGTTTGGTAGATGTTATCAAAAAAATTGTTAATCAAAACGGATGAAAAACATTCTTCAATTTCAGKGAAAAGAATAGATCAAATCCCTACTTTAATTAAGAGGATTTTTGCTCAGACTACGTGTTTTTTCTAATGTGCAGACGTTTAAAGTGATGTTTATGAAGTGACGTGTTCCGTTTGAGCATCGTTAAGCGTCATTTTCGATCATTTCAACAGCAGGTAACGGATGGCAGTACTAGACATAGCATAAACAGGCAATAGAATCTGGCTTTTATCTAAATTGCCCACGTACTCTGCCCGTTGAAAATGAAAATCCCTGTTGGAAGGCAGTCTTTGCAAGCAGGGAATACATTATTGAACCAATGCAAAAAATTGTCAAAGATGTCGATGAATAAATTTGTCCGCAGAAAAAAAGATTTCCAAAGAAACAGATAGAGGAATAAGAGTTCGAATTAATTTGGGATAAATGGTCCTGACAAATGAGATTTAAATGGATGGATGAATAAATTGAATAAATAAGTAGTAGCCTAAGTATCAATCCCTCTTTATGCCTCTTAAACCTCTTCAGCCTTGAAAACCTATTAAAAATGATAAGATATTTTTAAATGGTTATTCTAATGCACAAACAATTCTAAAAAAAAATATTTCATGAATCAAGACAACTACTTAGTAAAAAGTGGTTTAAAGATTTTAAGTGAATGATTGAATAACAAATATAGTGATGGACTCAATTTTATGACCAGATGTTTATATTTAAAGATCTGCAATATAAATCAGCCCTTGAGGCATGGAAAAATGAGCTTGGTCATACATCAGTCTTATTGAAATATTTGTAATTGCTCAAAATGAGCGTCACACATTTTATAAATGAGTCAATCAATTTAATCACACTAATTCCAACAGCTGGTTCATTAATATATTGTTTGTTAATCTAGGTCTCAATTTATTAAGATATTTAACACTTATTTAATAATATAAATGTTTTTTTGGAACATCCAGTTACCATGGGCAACTCAGTATYACATCATACATTGTAATGCCCTCAATTCAGCTACTCTATTATTTCATAWATACAGGAAGTTACATGGGCATGCGATACAGATTTTAACTTAAAGTGTTAAAAAGATTCTCTTACAAGTGAGCATAGGGTATCCAAATTTCTACTAACATATTATTTTACACACAATTAAGGCTGGCAACAGGATGTCAAAGAGATCACAAAGCTCAACTATTCCATTATATTTTCCTCAATAAATTGTAATTTAAGAATTCATGTAATCACATTTCTTCCCAGGCTGTAGACTTGTCCTCTGGGATGTCAACCTTGATGCTTTGAGGAYTGTTGCTGAGGAAATCCAAGCAATAGGYGCYGAAGTACAYTATTATCATTGTGATTTAGCCAAGAGAGAAATGGTGTATGATGTGGCTGAGAAAGTTAAGCAAAATGTTGGTCATGTTACATTGTTGATAAACAATGCCGGCATTGTTAGTGGAAAKAAGCTYTTGCTGTGTACCGATGACCAGATTACCAGGACGTTCCAAGTGAATTCCCTTGCACACTACTGGGTAAGGTTTCAATTCTTACCACAGTAATTGTGAAATTCATGCCTTCTCCCATTCATTTGTTCATCCATTCATTTTTTCATCCATTCATTCATTAAATTGTTTTTGATAAATTTATTAGACCCTTCAATAATTAATACTATCGTTTATACATGCAGACTCCTTTCCCTCTTCCTTCCATTCATCCATTTCTCAATTCATCCATCCATTTATCCATAGCCATCCCTCTCTCCCTCCCTCCCTCCCTCCCTCCCTCCATGTATTCATAAATTTATTAATTCCCCCTTCTCTCAGCCCCTCCTTCTCTCCCCCTCACTCCATCCATTCTTTCGCCCATTCATACATCCATCCATTATCCATGTTAATGCGCTTTCATTGTCTATGATATATTATTTATTATTAGATTTAAATTTCCAGGCTATAGGAAGACCTAATTTTACAATATAATATGATAAACTATCTTACAGCCTTTTGCAAAAATTATGAGAATAATGTCTAAATATCTAAATATCATAATACATAATATCCATATCCATATATTGTCCAGAACACGCGGGTTTGCTAGAATAATTCATTGTTGACATTGAGAAAATGTTCAGAACTACGGATAARTCTGTCGCCAAAAAAAAACTAAACTACAAAGACAAGGGACTAAGGGCATCGCGCGGGATTACCCATCATGCACTCGATATTATGATATTTAGATATTTCAACAATTCTCATAATTTTTGCAAAAGGTTGTATATAATTACTGTAGGTAAATATAGTGTTGCATTTCATCCTTCCATCCATTCTTCTATTTTAGACCATAAAATCCTTCCTTCCTGACATGCTTGCAAGAAACCATGGTCACATAGTCTGTATAGCATCWGTTGCTGGCCTGTTTGGACTGGTTGGTTGTGTCGATTATTGTGGATCCAAGTTTGCAGTTGTTGGMTTGATGGATGCCTTACGGCGTGAAGTTTATGAGATGAAAAAGACTGGAATAAAGTTCACAACAATTTGCCCTTCTTTTATAAACACTGGTCTGTTTAAAGGAGTCAARTTAAAGTAAGTGTAAGTCCGCAGGGTTTTCAGTAGCACAGCCGGCGAAAATCGCGAGTTATAACATGGTTAATCGCCCACTACTTATGAAATGTATTAGCAAATAGGCGATATGCATTATGGCGTCATTTACTACAACTACCAGAATGCTTTGCCAACTTTCTTTTGTAATGCAATTAGTTCCAATTGTTTTATTAATCTCCAAGGGGATTAAAAATCTGAATAACAATGAAAATGCGCAAGGCTCTCTGGTAGTTGTAGAAAAGTAAATTTACGTCATAATGCAAACTGCCTATTGTCTGGTTGTAGTTTGTTAACGGATTGCAGGAAAAGCTGGTTACTTGTTCTATTTTGACATCTACTTTAATTTTATATACATTCCCTTGTAAAAATGCTTAGCCTGTTTTGGGGTTACCTGTTCTTCAATATATCATCTATATTATATCTGAGAAAAGCAAAAAATTACTTTTAAAAAGCATAGTTAATCAAARATGATACCAAGTCCTTACCTGGTCTTTCTTCATCACAGATACCCCTCTCTTCCTGGCTTRGGAGTGTTAACCCCTGAAAATGTTGCAMAGTCAATTGTGGATGCCATACGTACAAACCAAGTCATGTTGTTGACACCTTGTCTTGCAAATGTCAGTCTTCTTGCTAAAACGTAAGTAAAGCTACAGATGGATGAGCAAATGATTAAACTCTACAATGTTAAGTTATGAGTGACACTGAGAGAGTATCCATTGTTATTTCTCCCTATAGGATCCTACCAACTAAATCCACAGACATGCTTCTAGGGTTTCTTGGTGCAGATACTGCTATGGACACCTTTGTAGGACATCACAAGCAAACTTAATGATCAATAATAGAATTTTAGAACTGTATAAACTGGACAAAACATTCCCTTAAAAATACCGTACAAGACACCTACCTATATATATTTTAGGGACAGCTCTATATTAGACCCCTCTCTATTACATTATCCTGTACGATATTTTGTAAATATCTTCTCCCCCTAGAGCAAGCGCAGAAAACCATGAAATAAAATCAAACTAAATACTAACAAATAGCGGCTATCTTTATTGCGTTCATTGATACTGACAATTTTGTCTCTAGTAAATAGCCGCTATTTGTTAGTATTTAGTTTGATTTTATTTCATGGTTTTCCTGCGTTTGCTCTAATATGAATACGTCATATCCCTACAACAGACACAAATGGAAGACTTAAGAATAACCTTAATATATAGAAATTTTTGAGGAAAAATAATATTGATTATTTATTTAATTTTAATTAGGAAATTGTTATTTTGAACAATCTTTGTTTTATGGAATGTTATCATTATAATAGGCATCAAATTTTATTACATGGATTTTTGATTTAATATTTAATAATAATTTTTATTTTTATTTTATAACTGATTTTTAATGTATCATACTTTTAGGTGAATTATAATTATTTTGGGAGGAGCCTCTAGGGAGGGGATGGGAGGTGGGAGTGGGGGTCCTAGATCTGCCATGCAAGCAATATTGACTATTTATTTGTAGTTTTACATAAAATTTTRTGTGTAATATATTGATTTGTTAAATGAAGAATATAGTCTCAACAATAAACATTGAACTCAAATAAAACCATGTAATATAGTTATATTCTTTCATTCAGTGACACTCGTGCAAATGCAAGAGAGATATTACATTAGCCTGCGTAGCGGCTTGCTCCTCCCTGCCTCCTCCCCTTCCGTTTTCCCCACTTCCTCCCTCCCCCCTCCCCTAGAGCTGCTACGCAGGCGATCTACGCAGTCTAATATTACATGGGCGCGCGGCGATGCGGATTCTATCTTCGATTGCTGAAAAGATCTCTTACGAGTGAGCGTAGCGATTTTCAACACGAGAAGATAACATTCGTATCTCCAAGCGACCATGTAATATTTTATTTATCATACCATTGTATATGAAAGCAAATTATGTCGTAAAATACCTTTTTTATTACTAACACTATATAAAGGAACCTCGAATGTTACGAAACGGAGAAATATAGGTGTTTCATAGACTGATAATTAAATGATCTAATGATCTAATCGGATCTTTATCACCCRATAAAACACACTCTTTCGTTCTTTATACACTACAAAAAATACCGCAGTGCCTTTTACGTTGTTTCAACATAGTTAATAAAGTTGATTCAAAGTTGATATCAACTACGATTTCAAGGGTTTGTAAAAACCACACTTTGAAAGTCCAATAAGTACATAATATCAATCAGAATGACTTTTTTCGTGCGTACCGCAATGTGTGCAATGTAAGTGACCGAATTCCCCCTTTGCAGATACCAAAAAATTGAGTTTTTGGACTAGTAATGAATGTGATGCGTTTCCAAAAATGAATTCAATTTAAGACCAATTTTCAAAATTAACACAAAAAAATAATTAGCATTACTGACGCGGTTTATTCTCAGGCTAAAAAGAGGTCAAATCATAATTATGTATGTCGGTAATGCATCGGACAGACTGACCATATGCAGGGTGAAAAGTGTCTGTATATATCAGTTTTAACATATATCAGGAGTCTGCCCCACTAGGTGTAGTGGCAAAGCTAACACATTTGCATCAAAAACCGAACGATTTGTGTACATATAGCGTTTAGTCACGAGTTTGTCTACTAAAAAGTTCAAATGTATAAATTCCCTTCCGTCCATTCACTTATCCCTTAATTTATCCATGTGCCCAAAAAAACTCAATTATTTCTTCAATGAATTTTGCTATAGCAATTTTCTTTTTCCCACATTGAAAGTTTCCGAAATCTATCAAGGTATCCAGGGGTGCTGGTATACTAGAAGCGATACAATTAGGCGCTTACTATGTATGCAAATCCAAGGACATTTTTTCCCGTTTGAAGAATCGCTTGGATACAGTCATTAGTTATTATTCAGTAGTTTTGTGAACAGTCCATCGTTTAACACTTTTACTCTGGAAGAACAGAATTGAACGGCTAGTAGTACTAAACCAAAGCAAAGCAGAGCGATTTTTTCGCCCAAGGAAGCGGGGATGTTATGGTAAAKGCATGTAAATGTTTTAACTTAATATTGATCTTTTTATGTCTTCACTAGAACTGGAATTATAAAGTTTACATAATATAATGTTTTGAAAATGAAAAAAGGCGCATAAAGACTAGTATAATATCGTATGATATCGAAATCTATCTGACCACAATAACTGATTAGCTATTTTTTTAGCATGAGTATCATGAAGTTCTTTTCAGTTAGGAAATTTTTATTTTCCTGGCAAAAATTCTTAGAAAGTATTCCTTGTCTAGAGAGTTCTTTTTTCCTAAATTCCTCGCTGGCAACCAGGTTAATATTACAGCTGGCTGGGACATAAGAACAGATAGTCTCCCAGAGGAAACCTTCCATTCGATCTTTCCTATTCTTTGGTAAATGTTACCGTTTAAGACAGAGTTAGTAGAGAAGACTAGCTGCTACAAGAGTATTCAGGGCTAATAGAAATACAGTTTAATTTAATTTTATAAAATAACTTCTCAGTTTGTCTCGATACAAGCATTTCGTTTCTGAAAGTCAAATTTCATCAATTGATCGAATAGTGTCAATTCTCATGATGCCCTTTTTTTTACTCCAAAAAACTATGGAAATTGAATTAACATGATACTTTTTTAATCATGTGTGCCTTCCAAATAATGAAATGCTAGAAATTATTCACTTATTTTATTAGATGAACTTATCGAAACTTAGTAAGCAACGGGCTGCGAATGCAGCTTCACTAAATTAAATACTGATCAAAGTCTATGTTGATAAGCAACAATTTTGTTGATGTAAGCAATMACTGTGTTTTGCATAAAGCGACAACGTGTAGTGCCTTGAAAACGACAGCKCGCATGCAATTTGACTACAAGTGAGTTTTTCGCGTGCGCTCCTCGCTCCCTAATCATCCAGAACTGGACCGTCTTTTCTCAACTGTCTACTTTCATGTTTATTATATGTAAAAAGTTAAAAATCTAACTCGCGTGCACAAGAAATTAATTGAGCACGTTGAGTACGTTTATTCAAATATTTCAATTCTGCGAGCGCAAATTTGATAAAAGAAAGTCCAGTTCTGGACTACTCTTACTACTTCTACGACTGTTATATAGAGTATCTATAGACTGCAGAAAATATTGAAACGGCCATTGCAATGGCAAGTTTTTAGTGAATTCATTGGCAAATAGAATTACATGTAAATGGCGGAATAAAAATTGGCGGTAAAAATTCTATGTTTTGAAGTTCAAAAACGTCAGTAGATCACACCCTCTTAACATGTGATGTTGTGTCTTTTGAGTTGATACCGGTTTTGAACATTCCATTTACGTGCCAAAGCTTTGGATTCCCACACAAATACGTCAAGATCAAGAGCGTTTCYATTGTATTTCAAATGCAAATTTCCATCGAATGCCCTGCTTCAATGACCATTTGACATTTATTATAAAAGCGTATTCCGCTTCGACTGAATGATTTTTCCGCTGTTTTTGTTGTTTTCTACAGAACTTTTAGCACTCCTGTCAACACTAAAACCACAGAATGTCTTTCTGCCACAAGTTTGCTTCGCGTCTTCTCCGCCAAAGAAAGACAGGACAATTTGATAGCGATTCCACTCTTCGAAGATGCATGAGTACTCTCGACTTAACGGCTCTCGGCGTAGGAACAGTTGTAGGAGCAGGATTGTATGTTGTGACTGGAGAGCTCGCTCGAGATGTTGCTGGTCCAGCAGTAATCATTTCATTCCTAATTGCGTCATTTGCAGCCTTCCTGTCCGGCCTTTGCTATGCAGAATTTGGCTCCCGTATTCCTAAAGCCGGRTCTGCCTATATCTACACGTATGTAGCACTTGGCGAGTTTCTTGCGTTCGTAGTTGGATGGAATATGATTCTTGAGTATTTGATAGCAGCGGCCTCGCTCGCTCGCTCTTGCAGTGAGTACATCAACTCAATTGCCGGTGGAATCATTTACGAGTCTTTCCAGAATGACATCGCAAGCTGGCATGTTCCTTTTCTGGGACCGTTCCCTGATTTTCTAGCCTTGGGAATTGCTTTATTAGTAACAATAATAGTTTGTCTTGGTGTCAGACAGTCTTCACTGTTCAATAAACTTACTACATTTGTGAACTTTACAGTCATCGCTTTTATTGTCATATCAGGAGTTTATTTCATGGATGTTAGTAACTGGTCTTCGGCGTCTAAATTCGCTCCATATGGAGTCGGTGGAATCCTTACAGCGGCTGGCAGTGCCTTCTACGCTTTTGTTGGCTTTGATGCCATTGCCACGGCAGGAGAAGAAGCTATCAATCCAAGGCGTTCACTTCCTTTCTCCATAATTCTTTGCCTCGCCATTAGTTTTTTAGCCTACTTTGGCGTCGCTGCCGTCTTGACACTTTTAATTCCATACGACAAACTCAGCAAGTTTGCCCCCTTGGCGGAAGCTTTCGCAACTCGAGGTTTTCCCGCCGCAAAGTATGTAATATCAGTTGGAGCCATCTGTGCTACCGTCTGCTGCCTGATGTGCAACAGCTTTGCAGCTCCGAGGGTTGTTTATTCCATGGCATCTGATGGCTTGTTGTTTCGATTCTTTGCTAAAGTCAACGAGAGAACCCAGGTTCCTATTCGTGCAGCAGYGTGCGATTTCCTTCTCATTGGGACTCTAGCTGTTCTTCTGGATGTAGGACAACTCGTGGAAATGTTGTCTATAGGAACGCTCACTGCATATTCTTTTGTCGCTATTGGTGTAATGTTAACAAGGTACCAACCAAATGTTTATAGTGTCACTGTGGAAGAAGATGCCGGACCGTCGAACAGAAGGTGGCTGAAGAAATTGTGCTGCGCAAAGGAGGATGAAAAGGGACAGCCAGAAGTTGAGTATAAAGGTGAGTTTAATAGAAAATAAAGAACTTGTGTAGTGATTTGGTCTTCRAAGAAGATYAGCCAYATTTGTCATTAAAATGCCTGGATTATTCTAGTGGACTGATGAGCTATTTTAACAGACACATCAGACAATTAAGTGCATCTATACCATAGCCCTTTGTCCCCATAATAGATGAATCCACATGGCACCACTTTTCATYMTCTTTATTGCGTTCTGGCTCATTGATACTGACAAACTGTCTCTAAATAGCCGCTATTTGTTAGTATTTAGTTTGATTTTATTTCATGGTTTTCCTGCGTTTGCTCTAAAATCTTGTCGATAAACATGTTTATGCCCTACATACCAAAAAAAATCATGAAAGACAAGACGTAATAGTAATCAAGGGGAAAATGAGGAAAAAGTATAAAAAGAATGATGTAATGCATGCCAGTAAGCACGTAACTGATTCATAACTTCATATTCCCAACAGAACTTCAGAGGGTGGACAAGATTGACACTGATGACGAAACAGCTTCATCCACGTTTTCCCATGCAGAGCCAAACTCGGAAACATTTTGCCGGGCTTCCATCGCAACAGCGACACTTGTCCTTGGTGTCTTTGGTCTTTCCCTAACACTAACACTCGGTTATCCAAGCTTGCACGCAAAAGAGGCCTGGGCAATAGCTTTGACTTGCGCATTCGGTCTCGTCATAATTTTATCATGGATGGTTYTGGAGCGACAGCCGAGGAGCAATGCAACTTTTCCATTTATGGTTCCAGGATGTCCATATATTCCTAGTTTGTCATTATATATCAATGTTATGCTGTTAGTAAAGCTGAAGTACTGGACGTACGTGCGATTTGGTGTTTGGCTAGTTATTGGTAAGTTTAAAAGGTCCAGGTGTTTCTCTTTTTTTTTATTGTCCTACTTTAAAATTATTTTCTCATGAACCGTTTTTGAGATAGTATTTTGTTAAGTGCTCATACTGGCATCCAGTTCTTACAAACTTTCATTGTGCATTGAACTAAGTTAGTTAATTAGGAAACAGGGAAGCCTACGGGTCTGAGGATAGCCATTAGTTTTGCTAATTAATGTGAAATAGCAACTGATTTGCACTGAAAAAATGGCATGTGATGAACATTGGCTCCATTTAGTCTCCATTTCTATATAAGGTTAATCCAATACCAGAAAACAAACACTCGAACATGTGCACTATCCCGGGTGAAAGTACAATTTTACCAAAATGATAATGATGAATTATTAACAGCAGCTTCCCGTTTCTTTTCCAGGTCTCCTTATATATGGTTTCTATGGTTATAGACATAGCTTGGAGGGATTGGAATCTACGGATGATGGCAGTGACTACATTATCTCGCCAACGCCACCGATTGAGCAAAGAGTGCAGGAACTACAGCCYTCGGATGATAATTAA